TCCAAGTTCACAACTAAAAAGCAAAGTAGCTGAGATTTTAATCTGTGTGATGTGACTTGAGTCCACACTCTGAATTGAAGAAGTAGAGTAGGGTAAAAAAAATCCCTAACTTGTGGTTAGGGCCTGACACGAGATCACCTTTATTAAAAACTGCCCGGGCTCGGCGCCTATAGCTCAACCGGCTAAGGCACCAGCCACGTACACCTAAGGTGGCGGGTTCGAATCCCCAGCCCGGACCCGCCAAACAACAATGACGGCTGCAACCAAAAAATAGCCGGGCATTGTGGCGGGCGCCTGTGGTCCCAGCTGCTTGGGAGGCGGAGGCAAGAAACTCGCTTGAGCCCAGGAGTTGGAGGTTGCTGTGAGCTGTAATGCCACGGCACTCTGCCCAGGGGGACAGCTTGAGGCTCTGTCTCAAAAAAAAAAAAAAAAAAAAAAAAACTGCCCCAAATCCTCTTGCAAGGGAAGTGACTAGTCCCAGGGAATGTGGCCTACCTCCAGGTACAGAGAACAGGAGGGAGCTGAGGCCTGGCCCATTTCAAAGGCTGGGTCAAGGATCCTGAGTGAGGAACACAGTACCCAGGATGCCTGAAGCCAGAGAAGAGAGGTCTGGGGTGCCTACACTCAAGGGTGTTAGAAGTGCAACCTTCAGGGCGCTATGCAAAAAGGGCCCCGCAGTGGGATTTCAGGCACTTTGAATTGGGCCGAGACTACAGAGCTTACCTGCTGAAGGTCTGCGTGGGCCTGGCCGTGTAACCTCTAGTCTCCCCTCCTGTTTTGTACCCCATTATTGTTTAATCTTTGTGTTCTCTTGTGTGCACAGCCTTTTACTGTATACAGTGGCCTTTCCACTTTCATTTTGTCAGATCCACCTGACAGGCTCAGAGGCGGCAGGAGATGGCCAGTCTCTGTGAATTTAGAGTACCTAAAGAAAGGCACCCTTTTTCCTCTAAAGCTCCACCTCTGATTAACACAACATAATCATTAGTACAAAGTCACCACAAATACTGTAGCCAGGCATGGTACCATCTATGCAGAAGGCACTATGAAGTATTCACTGATATATTCCCATTCTGAATCCCCAAACTTTCTTGTTCCTCCAGCAGTTCACTCCCAACCCAAGGATCTCCAGTAATAATTTCTAAATCATGTGAGTTGAGAAGCCATGATGAAAATGTTGACAAATTAAATTTAACTGATACCTAAGGCAGAGAAACCAGCTAAGCTTTGCCACTGATTCACATGTAGTATGCATGTGTATATTTATGTATATTCACTAGAAGTACAGTCATATACAGGGATCCATGCTCAAAAAATGTTTAACTGCCTGATCAAACATATTTAGAATTCATCTATGTAGAACATTCTACCTCTTGCTTCATAGGCTGGTGATCCGAAGACTGAAATAACAAAATTCTTGGGGTTTTTTGCTGTTTTCTTTTTTTCCAGTTTTTGGCTGGGGCCAGGATTGAACCTGCCACCTCTGGTATATGGGACCAGTGCCCTACTCCTTGAGCCACAGGCGCTGCCCACAACAAAATTCTTAAGCTTTTAGTTTATAAAATAGGCTTCTGAGATCTCAAGGCAAAGCTTTTAGTTTCAGACAACAAAGTTTTAAAGTCTATAAGCTTGGTTTGAAAGCCAAATGTCAAATCCCTAAAGATATATTACATCGGGAATATGGAAGAATAGTCCCATTCTACCCTTCTGTAATAAAGATGCCCTCTTCCTCCTAATCAAGAGAAGATTGGGGATATTAGGAGAGGTAGAGGGCCTCAGGTCTGGGCTTTGACACAGATAACTCCTGATGAGAAGTCTCTAGCCTTTAGCTGTGAAATAAACAAATAAGGCTGTCTTTCATTTATTCAAAAGTCCTCCCAAGTGAATTTTAGCTTTTTTCTTGTAAGCCCTATACATTAATTGTTTCAGTTAATTCCTACGTAAATTTAGCTGCTATTTTAAATGTGATCTCTTCTTCCAGTATGTTTCTCAATTGCTACAGTTTGTATAAAAGAACACTATCAATTTTAGAATACTAACTTGCATAATCCTTTTATTGTCCCTAATAATTTTTTAGCTGACACTGTAAGTTTTCTACATCAATCATATCATGGGCAAATATTTATTACTTAAAGGCATCCTAATATTTATACTTCTCAATGTCTAACTAAATCAATCGCACATGCCCTAATAATGGTACTGTGTTTCCCTGAAAATAAGACCTACCCAAAAAATAACCCCTAGCGGAATTTCTATGCATTTGTTAAATATAAGCCCTACCCCGTAATAAGACCTAGTGGTGGTGGGTGGTGCCTGTGGCTCAAGGAGTAGGGCGCCAGCCCCATATGCCAGAGGTGGCGAGTTCAAACCCAGCCCCAGCCAAAAGCAAAAAAAAAGATGTGGTGGGCGTGGCTATGCAGCATATCTACATAGCCACGCCATGCATTTTGGCGTGGAGCCGTAAGGAAGACTGGAATACCTTTTTATCTGCCACAGCTCCTTTCTCCGAGCAGTTCGCACTTGCACGGGTGCGTGTAACCGCGGTCGCAGGCATCCTATTGCGCATGTGCCAACAGCTAAGGGAAAGAAGTTCACGCATCACTAGCGCCAGCCTCACCAACAAGGTCGGCTCCCCCGTCAGGTTGCAGAAGATGATTTAATCGTGTTTGAATAAATGTAGATTGTTGTATTATACTTAATAAAAATAAGATATCCTCTGAAAATAAGCCTCAGTGTATCTTCTTGAGAAAAAATAAATATGAGACAGTGTCTTATTTTCGGGGAAACACGGTCTATTAGTCTTTGGAGATGGTGCTAGATTCTATTTGTAGGAATTTATGATCTCACCTAAGTGAGATTAATCTACAAATCTCTTTGCATTTCTTTGAAAGGTTTGATATTGCTATTATTGAGGATTTTGTAGCTTTCCTATGCTTTGAAACAGTTTAACTAGTATCAAAATGATCTTTTAAGAATGAAATAACTCACTTGTGAAACCACCTAAGTTTGGTGCTTTTAAGACACTTGTTTAGGCTCAGCGCCTGTGGCTCAAGTGGCTAAGGCGCCAGCCACATACACCTAAGGTGGCAGGTTTGAATCCAGCCCGGACCCACCAAACAACAATGATGGCTGCAACCAAAAAATAGCTGGGCGTTGTGGTGGGTGCCTATGGTCCCAGCTACTTGGGAGGCGGAGGCAGGAGACTCGCTTGAGCCCAGGAGTTGGAGGTTGCTGTGAGCTGTGAAGCCACAGCACTCTACCCAGGGGGATAGCTTGAGGCTCTGTCTCAAAAAAAAAAAAAAAAAAAATAAAAAAAGACACTTGTTCAATTTCCTCTTCCATGGTCATTGTCTAGATTCTCTCTTCTCTGGGGTCAATTTTAATTTATATTTTCCCAGTAAATCGTTTGGGTTTATTTTAACTGATACTTAATATTTCCCTTACTTGCATACAACTTGCAATAATTTCACCTCACTACAAAGGAAAAATATAACCAAACAGATAAATCAACATGAGTGAAAACACAGCCAGGATAAGTTAAATGTATCAAACGAGTGGCAAAATACTAGTATACAGCTTTTTGTTGGAGGGATGGGAGGGTGGGAGGGTGGGAGGGTGTTGGTGGTGGAAAGAAACCTTTAAACAGGGCTTTAAAAGTAGGTACATGTTGGTAGGGTGTTTATATCCAGAGTACTGTAACACTGAAATTAAATTGACAGTGCTATGAACTCCTTTAAAAACACATATTTCTTGGTTCGGTGCCCATGTTCAGTGGTTAGGGCACCAGCCACATACACAGGGGCTGGTGAGTTCAAACCCGGCCTGGGCCTGCTAAACAACAGTAACAACTATAACAAAAAATAGCCAGTTGTTGTGGCGGGCACCTGTAGTCCCAGCTATTCGGGAGGCTGAGGCAAGAGAATCACCTCAGCCCAAGAGTTTAAGGTTGCTGTGAGCTGTGATACTACAGCACTCTACCCAGGTGACAGCTTGGGACTGTGTCTCAAAAAAAAAAAAAAAAATACATATTTCTTATTATGATGTAGACAATGATTTTCAATTAGATAATTACAGAATATGTATTAAGTATTTTTTAAATGTCCCTGAAGAAAGCCAACAAAACTATATATGTCTTTAGTATTATCACTCCAGTTATCTAAACTAAAAGTAGGCTAAATTCCCAAGGACAAAGTGGCATTCTTCTCTAATTTTCTTATATTAGATTTCTCACATTATTAAAACATTTAATGAGCACTTACTATGCATCAGACACTGTGTCAGCTACATAAATGGTTCAGACATGGTCCCTCGGTTCAAAAAACATATTCCCCTCATCCCTATTTCCAACATGACACACTTATATGCATGGTTATGTACAAAAACCTCAAGAAACATAGACACTGCCCCACTAGAACTTTGCTTCACAAACCAGCAAATATAAAATAGTTGAGTATCAAATCAAATCAGTTATTAAAAAAATTCCTAATTTTTATATTGATATCACTATTCTATATTAATATTAAATCGTGATATCTCAAATTGGGTATCATCTTCCTTCCTATGATAGGGCTATTAAGTAAAGAGAGAAGTCGAGCACTGCTCTGAGACATCTAGAACAATTTGAAAAGAGGGTCAGAGAAAGGCAATAGAAACTTACTTTCTATAACAGTGGTTCTCAACCTATGGGTCACGACCCACAGGAACTGTATTAAAGGGTCGCAGGATTAGGAAGGTTGAGAACCACTGTTCTATTATGTTTGAAGAAACAGAGTATTACAAGTAAGGAAAGATCATGAGAAAAATAATGAGATCACCTTAAAAATTACTATACATCAAAAGGATCTTTTGCACTAATAGTAGAATGCTTATAAATAACCAATAAAAAATAAATATTCATGTGACTGTTCATTGAAAAAAATCCTATCTGTAAACACAACACACTACTACCAAGACACAAGCAGTAAGAAAGTTGGGAGTACTCTGATAAGGTACAAACCTACCTGTGCACACGATTCTTCAGGTGTTTTGGCACTAACTGAATAAAGTGCTGGGAGGTCTAATCTATGCACAGAGAACCTTTCAAGAGTGTGCAAAACTGCTGGAGCAAGGTGAGAAGTTTGACCTGAGCCTCGTTCTCCAGACAGCAATAATCGTGGCCTGTAAGAGGTTGGCTGATGATATGGTGACCTGTAATACATGTAAGACATAATGATTTGAAAACTACACATACCAAACATCACTATGAAACATAAGCAAAATATTTACATTAAAAGAATGTACTTCCAAATCGGTGGGACCACACCTATGATGCATCTTACAAGGGTACACGTGAAATTTACTAAATGTAGAATATAAATATCTTAACACAATAACTAAGAAAATGCCATGAAGGCTATGTTGACCAGTTTGATGAAAGCATTTCAAATTGTATGTAAAACTAGCACATTGCACCCCACAATTACATTAATGTACACAGCTGTGATTTAATTTAAAAAAAAAAGAAAAAGAAAAGTTTATACAAAGAAAGCTAAAATTAAATCAATTCTTTCAGAAAAGCTAAAACAAAATGAGCCAGGGGAGTGTCACATGTTAACAAGAACAGCAGAGAATATTCTTAATAAAAATTATTAATTTACATAATTCCAATTCAAACAATTAAAACTTTCAAACACACATGCACATACGAACAAATACCCATACAAAAACAGCCTAGCCAGGTGGCTTTCCCACAACTGTAAAACAGATCTGTAAAATGCTAGGATAGTCTAAACCACACTCCCTCAGAACATGAAAGAAAAAATCTGGAGAGGCGGCGCCTATGGCTCAAAGGAGCGCCCTATATACCGGAGGTGGTGGGTTCAGAACCCGGCTCTGGTCAAAAACTGCAAAAAAAAAAGAAAGAAAGAAAGAAAGAAAAAATCTGGAGAAGAAGAGAAACCTTCCAAACGGAACAGCTTGCTATTAAAGAACACATGAAGAAACAAGAAAAGAAAGTAATTCAGCCTCATTTTTAAAATGAAAAACAAGAAAAGGTTATCAATACAAATAATTAAGCCAACATTTCAAAATCAACACCAGGAAACTTCAAATTAAAGACTTAAATTTGTTCAAATTATAGCTTTAAAAAAATTACTTAAAAGTACACATAACACCGTCTCTTCTAACAAACATCCTATTAGACCTACCCAACTGGAGCATTAAGGCCCTTCACCTATGTTGTTAATTATGTAAATGCAAGTAAAGATGGTGTCAGTATTTGAAAACTATTTGTTCTCTTAGTTTAAAATTACATTGGCACTATAAGTGTTTACCCATTATAGTGCACAACAAAAGATGCTTTAACATAAGATGGTAAAAAGTAAAATGTATTGAAAAATCATAAAAATCCAAATTACAGAAGTGTAGACCAATGAGGTTTTTAGAAAATCAAAAGGTTATTTGAGGCCTTTTGATTTGGCCTCAACATGGGTGGGACTGGAATATATTATGCTAAGTAATATAAGCCAGGCATAGACCAGGTGTGGTGGCTCATGCCTATAATCCTAGCACTCTGGGAGGCCGAGGTATGGTGGGTGAATTGCCTGAGCAAACGAGTTCAAGACAAGCCTGAGTCAGAGCAAGACCTCATCTCTAAAACTAGCCAGGCATTGTGGCAGGCATCTGTAGTCCCAGCTACATGGGAGGCTGAGGCAAGAGAATCACTTGAGCCCAAGGATCTGAAGTTGCTATGAGCTGTGATGCCATGGCACTCTACTGAGAACAAAGCGAAACTCTGTCTCAAAGCAACAAAAAAAAGTTATTTGCTTACTTACTGACAATTTCTAATTCAAAATCTCTTTAGTAGCCTTAGAGTCTAAAGTTATCGTCTGATAATTATTATAAATTAAAGTACTGGGCATTATGGTAAATATTTCATTTCTGTAAATTTTACTTCAAATAAAAAGCAATGAAATTGGGACCCAAGGGTTGATTTTCTAAGGATAATCCTTTCCACATCTCTAAACACGTACACACACACACACACAAAATCACACAATCACTATTTTATTTTGTTTTGTTTTTTAATTTTGCTTTCAACTGTCTTTCAATTGTCTTAGTTTGATGTTTTTTTAATTTTCTTTTTTTCTTTTATTTATTTATTTATTTTTTTTTAAATTGAGACAAAGTCTAACTTTGTGGCCCTTGGTACAATGCCGTAGCATCATAGCTCACAGCAACCTCTAACTCTTGGGCTTAAGCAATTCTCTTGCCTCAGCCTCCCAAGTAGCTGGGACTACAGGCGCCCACTACAACGCCCGGCTATTTTTTTTGTGGAGACAGGGTCTCACTCTGGCTCAGGCTGGTCTCAAACCTCTGAGCTCAGGGCAATCCACCCACCTTGGCCTCCCAGAGCGCTGGGATTACAGGCGTGATCCACCATGCCCGGCCCACACAATCACTTTTAAAAAAATAAACAAGCACACAAGATTCTTTTACTTGGGGAAAAAGAACTTAAGTGTTAACCAACCATCACTATACAAAAAGCATACATAATAACATGTTTTCCAGAATTGTGTCTAAACAACAGAAAAACAAAGTCCTCCAGATTATAACCATAAGTAAAAATATACTATAATTCTAACTATTAAAGTATCAAAACCTCACACTAAATTGAAAGAAATTCAATATAAATTACTCACATTGTAAAATGAAGGTAGGGTTTGTGTATAGCAGCAGCTGATGACTGTTTCTTTGGTGATCCTGAGTGACAACTGGTCTCAAAAATTGATAAAGCATTTTCATCTTCACTATCATCTAAAATTAGAGTTTCTATATCTGTTCCAAAAAAGAAAAGATAACCAGATGGGTTATGAGTCATTTAATGGAAGTTCCTTTCCCTACCAAAGCGAAAGCAAATTGCGTTAAAAATCAGTGGCACTAACTAATAAATTATCTGTCAGATTACTATTCCCTGAACTAACTACTAACTGGAGCTAAAACCCCTACTCAGAGTGCAATGCTTAAAACAGCAGTTCTCAACTTGTGGGTCGCAACCCCTTTGGATTGTATTAAAGGTTCGTGGCATTAGGAAGGTTGAGAACCACTGGTTTAAAACCTTACCTCAACTAACACCTAAAGTATGAACAGCTATACTTCATACATGTCTATTGCAAGTGACAATTCATTTGATAAAAAGCAATGCTACATGTTTGGCGGGTATGAGTAAGAATTAAGATTAAAAGAAATCATACCCTTCCAAAACAAACCAAGAAAAAAATAGATGCTTTCTAAAATAATGCAACTAATATTTTAAAAATCTGCTGCTGGGTACAATGTATACAACTCTGGTGAAGGGTACACTAAAAGCACTCATGTCGGCATTATACAATTCATCCATGTAAAAAAAATCACTTATACCCACTAAATCTAATTAAATAAAAAATAATCTAGAAAATAACTGAGACTTTAAGAACGATAATTTCATTTGCAATGAAAGGCTACTTGTCTAAGAAAAAAATATTAAAAGCCAAAACAAGCCAGAATAATGACTAAATAACTAAAAAGCAATTATTAATAATCAAATAAACTTGATTTCTTTTCTCCACTAATTCTTATTATCTAGATTCACTGATCAGAACTAAAACATTCCAGCCTGGCACAGTAACTCACACCTGTAATCCTAGCACTCTAGGAGGGAAAGGTGGGTGGATTGCCTGAACTCAGAAGTTAGAGACCAGCCTGAGCAAAAGTGAGATTCTTCACTCCCTAAAAACAGCTGACATTGTAGCAGGTGCCTGTAGTACCAGCTACTTGGGCAGCTGAGGCAAGAGGATCTCTTGAGTTCAAGTTTGAGGTTGTCATGAGCCATGATGATACCACAGCACTCTGCCCAGAGTGAAAGAGTTAAGACTTTGTCTCTAAAAATAAAATAAGCTCAGCGCCTATAGCTCAGCGGCTAGGGCGCCAGCCAAGTACACTGGAGCTGGCAGGTTCGAATCCAGCCTGGGCCTGCCAAACAACCATGACAACTACAAAAAAAATAGCCGGGTGTTGTGGCGGCTACTTGAAAGGCTGAGGCAAGAGGCTTAAGTCCAAGAGTTGGAGGTTGCTGTGAGCTGTGATGTCACAGCACTCTACCCAGGGTAATAGCTTGACACTCTGTCTCAAAAAATAAAAAAATAAAAAGAACTAAAGCATACTTTATATTTATGGAAAAACATTATAAGAAAATAGACAATAGTGCCTTAAAATGGAGATTCACAAATGGAGAAAAAAGGCTTTCATAATCTCTCAGAAGAAAAGGTATAGGTTTTTATAATTTTTTTTGTTTCTTTTGGGGGTGTTTTTGAGACAGAGTCTCACTTTTTCACCCTCAGTAGAGTGAGGTGACATCATAGCTCACAGCAACCTCAAAGTCTTAGGCTCAAACGATCCTCTTGCCTCAGACTCCCAATTAGCTGAGACTACAGGCACCCACTACAACACCTGGCTATTTTTAGGGAGGGGGTCTCGCACTTGCTAAGGCTGGTCTCAAACTCACGAGCTGAGGCAATCCACCCACTTCACCCTCCCAGAGTACTAGGATTACAGGTAAAGCTAAGTTTTTTGAGAAATTTTGTGGAAAGATACACATTCCTACTTCAGAAAATCAGGAATAAGAAATATACAAATCATAGCATAGTGTCTGGCTCATAGCTACTTAGTGAAATATTTGTTCCTTTCCCTAATCTGCTAAATTTAAGAAATCAAGTAATCCATGTAGTACTTCATGTAAGTCTGTCACTAACAAATTAGCTTCTGAAAAATATATTCATAATGACAGCAAAATTCATTAAGTAATATTTTCTATTTGGTACAGACTACATTCCACATAAGGTGCTAGGATCTGAGGAAATTAAGACAATCAAAAGACATTGGCCAGGTGCAGTGGCTCATGCCTATAATCCTAACACCTTCAGTGGAGGTCAATGCAGGAAGTCTGTTTGAGCCAGGAGTTTGAGACCAGCCTGAGCAAGTGCAAGACCCTGTCTCTATTTAAAAAAAAAAAAAAAGTAGAAAAATGAGCTAGGTGTGGTGGTGCATGCCTATAGTCCCAGTTACAAGGAGGCTGAGGTAGGAGGATTCCTGGCCCAGGAGTTTGGGGTTGCAATGAGACATGAAGACACCACTGCACTCTAGCCCCGATAACAAAGCAAGACACTGTCTTAAAAAAAGATTAAATTCACTAAGTGCAGAGTATAAATGCCTTAACATAATAACTAAGAAAATGCGGTGAAGGCCTATGTTAACCAGTTTAATGAAAATATTTCAAATGGTATATAAAACCAGCACATTGCACCCCATGATTGCATTAATGTACACAGCTATGATTTAATAAAAAAAGAAAAAACAGGGCGGTGCCTGTGGCTCAGTGAGTAGGGTGCTGGCCCCATATACCAAGTGTAGCGGGTTCAAACCCAACCCCAGCCGAACTGCAACCAAAAAATAGCCAGGCGTTGTGGCGGGCGCCTGTAGTCCTAGCTACTCAGGAGGCTGAGGCAAAAGAATCGCTTAAGCTCAGTAGTTGGATGTTGCTGTGAGCTGTGTGACGCCATGGCACTCTACCAAGGGCAACAAAGTGAAACTCTGCCTCAAAAAAAAAAGAAAAAACAAAAACAAAAACAAAAACAAAAACAAAAAGGGCTGTGCCTGTGACTCAAAGAAGTAGAGCACTGGCCCCATATACCAGAGGTGGTGGGTTCAAACCCAGCCCCGGCCAAAAACTGCAAAAAAAAAAAAAAAAAAGACATTACCTTCCTTGCAAAGTTCATGCTCCTTAGTTTGATTTCAACCTAAATTTTAAATTTTTTCCAGTGAGTGATGTTTTTAAAGGTAGTGTTCTAGTTTATCTCAGGACCAAACTACAATCTTGAGGCCTGACAGAATTCAAGACCTTGTACACAGGTTCTTTTTTTTTTTCTGCAGTTTTTGGCCAGGGCCAGGTTTAAACTCACCACCTCCGGTATATGGAGCCGGTGCCCTAGTCCCTTGAGCCACAGGTGCCACCCAAAAAAGGCTTTTTTGTTTGTTTGGATGGTTGGTTGGTTTTTTGGCTGGGACTAGATTTGAACTTGCCACCTCCAGCATATGGGGCTGGTGCCCTACTCATTTGAGCCACAGGCGCTGCCCTGTACACAGGTTCTTATTCACTCCCCTACCGATAGCTTACACTCCCATCAACATAGCACAGTACATAGTACAAGATATACTTGATGAGTTGAATCCAGAAAGGCAATATAGCAACATAGGTAAAAGCAACAGTACTGGAGCAGGCTCCTGGGTTAGGGCAGGCCCCAGAACTTAATGAGTAACATTTGATAAATTAACAGCCTAAGTCTCCTAGTCTCCTCTTATATATACTAAAAATACTTATCCAAAGGTACTGTTATGAGGATTAATAAATGAATGTATGAACAAATGTAAATATATTGCATTATAATATAAACGTAAGCATTTTTTTTTCTTTTTTTTTGAGACAGAGTCTCACTTTCTCGCCCTCAGTAGAGTGCCGTGACAGTGCCACAATGCTCACAGCAACCTCCAGTTCTTGGGCTTAGGTGATTCTCTTGCCTTAGCCTCTCGAGCATCTGAGACTACAGGTGCCCGCCACAACCCCCAGCTATTTTTTTGTTGTGGTTTGGCCAGGGCCAGGTTTGAACCCACCACCCTCAGTATATGGGACTGGCGCCCTGCCCAATGAGCCACAGGCGCTGCCCACAATTTTTTTTTTTTTTTTGAGACAGAGTCTATGTCGCCCTCAGTTGAGTGCTGCAGTGTCACAGTTCACAACAACCTCAAACTCTTGGACTTAAGTAATTCTCTTGCTCGGCCTCCTGAGTAGCTGGGACTACATACGCCTGCCACAACTCCCAGCTATTTTTGGGTTGCAGTTATCACTGTTGCTTAACAGGCCCGGGCCAGGCTCAAACCTGCCAGCCTCAGTGTATGTGGCTGGCGCCCTTCTCACTGAGCTATGGGCACCAAGCCAACTTAAGCTATTACTATAGCCAATATTCTAAAAATAACAACAGTCCTACATTAAGAAGGTCAGAATGTCTCAAGAGTGAACAATTCATTTGTTCATTTTTCAAATATTCACCAGGTAACTACTTTATGCCAGATAATATGCCAAGCCTGAATACACAGTAGTAAGTGAAATAGATTTATTTTATATATTTGTGGTAAATATAAGAGTGACAAATAATCTTATGAAGAAACTATTTGTGCCTATATTTGTTTTATTTTAACAATATGAAAAAGTTTATAATCTTACCTTCTTTCTTGTCACTCTGGCTAATTTCAGCATGAGGAAACACTTTTTGCAAGACTGCTAGAATGTTGTTGAAGCTTCTTTCCAGCAGTGGCCTTATAATGGGGGATAATGCATGTCCCGAAGACATCACAGCACGTTGGGAAGCAGGCACAATATTCTGCATTGCATGGTAAAAATCCTGGGCACTGAGCACTATTGAGGAAACATCCAGCTGCAGTTTATGACTACTAGCATAGATCTGGGGATAACGCCTCCGCAGGGCAATAAGGGCAGCTTCAGTGCACAGGGCCTTTATATCAGCTCCACAATAGCCTAATACACAAAAGGAGAAGGATAACAAAGGTTAAGTTCATTTTTCCATCCACCAACTATGTTCTGTGAATAGACACATCTTTATCTAAAGTAATAATCAGTAATCATATGTAATTTTATCATAAAATGAAAACTGACAATTTAAAATAACCTAACAAAAGTATTAAAGGGCTAAATACTTATTAAAACTAAAAATGTTTTAAATATTTTAAATTAACAAAACACGAGCTAACAATATGAAAACAATACAAGCCACATATTATGTGTCAAAACCACTGATTACAATGTTCGACTTTCTTCACAAAAAGTTTGGGTTTGAGTTTTTCTTTTTTCTTTTTTGAGATGGAGTCTCACTATGTCACCCTCAGTAGAGTCCAGTGGCAACACAACTCACAGCAACCTCAAACTCTTGGACTTAAGCCATTCTCTTGCCTCAGCCTCCCAAGTAGCTGGGACTATAGGTGCCTGCCACAATGCCCGGCTATTTTTGTTGTTGTTGCAGCTGTTTAGCTGGCCCAGGCCAGGTTTGAATCCGCCACCCTCGGTGTATATGGCTGGCGCTGTAACCACCAGCTGTGTTACAGGTGCTGAGCTGGGTTTTAGTTTTCTTTATATACAGTTTCCTTTGTTTTATTTTATTTTTGGTTTTGGTTTTTTACTGGGCTAGAATGCACTAGCATCATTAGAGCTTACCACAACCTCCAACTCCTGGGCCCAAGCTATCCTCCTGCCTCAGCTTACAGAATAACTGTAACTATAGGTATATGCCAACATGCCTGGCTAATTTTACTATTTTTGAGAAATGGGGTCTCACTATTTTGCTCAGGTTGGTCTCGAACTTCTGACCTCAGGCAATCCTGCCACCTCAGCTTCCCAAAGTGCTAGGATTACAGACATGAGTCACCATGCTGGGTGGGGAAGTTCTAAAAGGATAATAGCTTTATTTTAATCCTTCATCAATATTCCAAATCATTAGGTTAATCCTCACGACATTATGCTTACCTACAAGCTATTTTTTCTAATATTATTAACATCTAAACACATCCAATATAGTGCAAAGTGGACATAAACAGAAACTTCAAGACTAGGGCTATTCTACTACCAACTCTGATGGCAACCCACTAGCAAATTAAGATCCAATTACCTCCAAAATTATAATTTAAACTTGTAATCACTCTCTGATAGTTCTGAAGGTATTAAAGGAAATAAGGGTGAAAAGTGTTTCCAGTGATTTTCCACGTTTATGTCCTTTGTTTAGCTTAAAACAAATGAAAAACTAGTTCCAAGATTCATACCAACATGGCATATTATGTATTTCCCTATTTAATGGATTATGCAGTTAAGCAACATCAGTCCCCTCAGTGCTTAAAGTCATTTCATTCATCTAAGCATCAAATAGATACAAAAACATATGAACTCTTGGTTCTCTGTCATGAAAAGGAGAAAAACTTAAAACAGCTGTATGTAAGCAATTAAACTTAACATTTGGCCACTTTTATAAATTATGCCAGCAGGGGGAACTATTTGAACAATTTATAGAACCTCAGACCCTAAACTCCTCAAGGAACAGTATCAGGTTTATTTATTTTTTTACCCTTCACGACAATCTTATGGAAGACTTAAATACTGACATAAAAATTGTGATTATAAAGGAAAACTTATTCAAGGTTAGGGAAAAATTTAATATGACTTAGAAGAACTTAATTCAGAAAACTATAAGCAGATTAAACATTTACACTGTCCCATGACAGAAATCTATCTCCCAAACAATTCTTCAGAATAACCAGATTTATCACTAATTTCTCATTTTATTTTCTATTTCTCAAAGAATAAACCTAAAAAAAAATATTTTCCTTTAGCATATAGATCTGTTATGCTAATTCAACAACTTACGGAACACTGGGCTCAACATTATAAACAGTTAACAAAGTAATCCAAAGATGTGATTTAAAAGTATGTGAATTCTGTCCTCCGTATCAGGAGTATGGAATAAAACACCATCCTCAAACAATTTCTTAAGGAAACTACTTATGTACAGTTGTGAAAATATTATCTGGTCCTATTAAGTGCAAAAGCACTTAAACAAATAAAGTTTAGTAACAATAAGGCAAAAGAAAATTATTCACTAACAGCATTTTAGGTAGTAAATGTTACTGTAACATTTATGTGTCATGATAATATGTAAGTTACATACATAACTGCAATGTATTACTCATTTTTTCTTAATTTACTCTAGTTTGTCAACAAGATCCCACTTAATAAAGCAGATTTTTATATGAACTATCATAACCAACAGACTATAAAAGAAAATAAATATTCTTTACATTTGCTTGAGAGTAAAAATTACTGGTCTATATCTGGAATTCTCAACATGAATAAACAATGTAACCAAAACAAACAAACAAACAAAAAAAACAAAACAGATTCCCAAGCCCCACAACAAACTTAGTAAATCAAAACTTCTGGGGGGTTGAAAATAAATATATATTTTTAGAAAGCTTTTCTTTTGTTTGAGAAAGCTTTAAAAGTGATTCTGATACACACAAGAAACTGAGAACTATTACATTTCTTTCACTGTACTCTAAAACAGAATTTAAAATGTTTCATAACAATGGCTAAAAGGGTTATACTTAGGGAAACCATATATGGTGGTCAGGTCTCTTATCCTGTCGTAATTATTAGCACACATTCTCACTCTCAAAAAGGTTTAGAAAATAAATATGATCATTTTAGTAATATTAAAAATATCCTTTTAAGAATTAAAAGTGAATATTAAAGAAATTATAAACATTACAGTTCTAATACTCTGCTGAACACAAATATCTTTATATTGAAGGAATATTCTTGAATACTGCTATTAAGAGAGAATTTTCTGAAAGGTTTCAAATACAACTATTAAAGAAATTAGACTAGAAAATAAGATCATAACAAAAGTTAATAAAGTTAATTTTTAAAGTACAGCACCAAACATAATGAAGGCCTACAAGACAGACACCTCATTGATATGCTTTCATTGTTTCAGCCCTCTCATTGAAAACAGAATAGAGAAATATGGTTAAGGTCAAGCTCTTCATTAATCATAAGCTTCTATTTGTGCAAATGTTCTGGATACCAATGTATGTTTTTCACTACTTAAAAATCACACTCTTTATGCATGCAAAAACCTCCAACTGCTAGGGAATTTATTTCAAGATAAAAGTTACCAAATCCATAATCTCTAAGAAAAGATCATCTATCTTTGCAGTTGTTCAGGACTGAATACCATATGATTAGGCACAAATTTCACTGAAATAAACCCAATACATGTTAAAACATGCTTGGGATACACAAACTGGTGAGTTCATAATGAATTTAAAATTTCTTATTTTATTCCTGTTTGAAGATCTGCATTTGATTTTTTTCTTAAATGTAAACTAGTTTCTTGAATGGAGTAAGTGTCATAACCAAAACCAGAAGTTATTTAAACAGATTTTTTTATTTTTGGTCACTATCTAGGAAGAAAATGATATATAAACAGATTCTACACATATGCTGCCAACCCACCCAGGGAAAAGAGGCAAGAGAAACTGTTTGGGCCTATAAAAAATTATATCACAGAAATGTTAAAACTTAAGAAATTGCCTAAAAGCTAAAATACATCATGTGGAAAAATAAGAAGTGTTGACTTTTGGAAACAAAAAAGAAAACTAAGATTCTAGTATTTGGGATGTTGGGATGAAGAACTGAACTGTAGTGTATCATATTTCAGATGTTAGACTGGGTAATAGAGAATAATTTAAAATACCTATCTGTTAGGGAATTTCCAAAATTATTTGAAGATATCTATTTCAGTTAAGAATCGTTCTGTGACATATTCACAGAAGAATCTATCTACAAAGATATTCCCATTCTGATCTGAACTCTAACACAATAACATCAAAAATAAAAGGGGTCAAATTTCAAAAAGGGAAAAGATTGGATTTTATACCAAATACCACCCTCTCCCATAAAGCAGCACAAGGCTTTGCAAAGGTCAAGCCAAATTTACATGAAATGTGTTTGGCGCGTGCTCTCTTATACCAGGCAAAGCTTAAACTGGAGTATTGCTGGAGAGATTTACGTTTTCTCCTCACCAGAAGATGTCGAGGTCTTTGTGGTTCAAAAGCTGAGGAATGCTGCTTCGGAGATGGAGGTCCCTGTGGATGAAGAGGATAATTCGGATGTAGCTAACTGAATGGACTAATGTTCTATTTAAGTTTTAATTATTTGATGGTGGATCACAATAATTTCTTAACTAAGATGTTCTTTTGGTTTTGGAAACTTTAAAGTTTTCCCAAGAAGGCTGTTATTTGTGGACTTATTTGGGGGGGAGGGTTTCTTCATAAAAGTTCATAAAGAAAAAAATTTTTTATTTCTATTTTTTGAGAGAATTGAGAGGAAAATAGACAAAATGGGAGAAAGAATGAAGTAAAAATACTTGTATATATATTCATTTACTTAACAATGTATCCCTTTTTATTTCAGTCCTACTTAGAGCCAAAACCCTAAATTCTATCTTCTATGTGTGATCATCTGTGTCTATAAATGTTCTTACAACATCCCTTTAGGGATGTTCATTAACTCTGTGGGGAGATCTTTTACTCTGTGAAGATTTAAAATTAAGTTGGAAAATTTTATATTTTGGGAAATGTTGCTAAATACCATAAGTAGTTTCTTTGAGGACCCCTCCCACCTAACCTATTCTATACCACCAGTGAAGATGAGCCCATTGTGTAATCTGCAAAGTAAAAAGACTGTAATCCTGCCTTTGATGTGAACCTTTCTCTCCAGGTTAAGCTTATTGTTCTTAGTAAAAATTTTAAGAATGAACAATTTCTAAAAAGAGATACTGTATTAACATTATGGATATCCAGCATTCAATGAAAGGCATATTACTACTGTGCTTTATTAATCAAACACCTAATAGCAGTTAAATTCTAATTTAGAACTGCTGAAACTTTAATAAGTGAAATATTTAAAAGAAATTTTTAAAATAAAGGGAGAGCCATCTATTACATAATCAAAGACATAACTATATTTGTTCACATTCCAAACATAAGGGGAAAGGGAGACTGAGCAGAACAAACAGCGACAAAGAATTCAAGTAGCAGTGTAGTACTCACCAACACATTTTTCAGCCAATTCACCTAAAAAAGCATCTGACAATTTTGGATTCCAGTCCCTAGTATGGATCTGTAAGATTTGTTTTCTTGCCTACGAAAAAAAGCACAGATGTGTAATATCTTGCTGAAGAAGAAAAGTATACATAAATATTATCAGTGCCTCCAATGTACTAATTATTAGCTGGAACTCATCTTAACGCACCATACCCCAGAAAAACTTTATTTCAAAGGAAATTTCAACACCTTAGCACCTACATCCACTCTGACTCTCACAATAAATCTTGAGATGTGTAGTAAACATCTTATCTCTGTTTCACAGCTAATAAATTTAATGTGTTGAGAGGTAAAAGAACCTGACTAGTGTACTGTATATAATGATGTATATAATGATGAAGTGACTTATCCAAGACTATAATTCAAAACTAAGTTTCACTTTTCCACCATATCATTTTTACTATTTGAAGACACATAAAACAAAATTTACTATGTTATTATAATTAAAACTTTTAAACAAACTTTTAGATTTCATAGAATTTTTGGTTGTCTCATGTGTATAAGGCATTACGATTCACAATGAGCAAAATGACAAATGATTTAAAACTTGAAAAAAATTGTTTCTATTCCAATTAAGGAGTATCACGTATATTACTTTGTAAATTGGTTGATGCCTTCACATTTAATAATTTCAGTAAGTACCAACTGAATTCATCAAAAAATCTGGTTTAGGCTCAGTGCCTATAGCTCAGCGGCTGGGGTGCCAGCCACACAGAGCTGGTGGGTTCAAATCTGGCCCAGGCCTGCCAAATAACAATGACAACTACAACCAAAAAATGGATGGGCATCTGGTAGGCAGCTATAGTCCTAGCTAGTTGGGAAGCTGAGGCAAGAGAATCGCTTAAGCCCAAGAGTTTGAGGTTGCCATGAACTGTGATGCCACAACACTCTACCCAGGGCAACAGCTTGAGACTCTGTCTCAAAAAAAAAAAAAAAAAATCAGGTTTAAATGATATTTTACATTTTTTTTTTCTGAAATAGCATTCTCTAGCTTAAATCTGATTGGATAGCACAATCAAAATCTTAACATCTTGGCTCCAAAACAAAGACCAATTCTTTCTCTAAAATAGCATTTTTTTTTTTTAAGGCACTAAAGTATAAGAATTTATAATTAGAGCAGCACCTATAGCTTAGTGGGTAGGGCACCAGCCACATACACCAAGGATAACATGTCTGAACCCGGCCTGGGCCTGCTAAAACAACAAAGACAACTGCAACAAAAAAAAACAGTTGGGCACTGTGGCAGGCACCTGTAGTCCTAGTTACATGGGAGGCTGAGGCAAGAGAATGGCTTAAGCCCAAGAGTCTGAGGTTGCTGTGAACTGTGATGCCACAGCTCTCTACCCAGGGTGACGGCTTGAGACTCTGTCTCAAAAAAAAAAAAAAAAAATAGAATTTATAATCAGCTGTTACTATCACCATGAATGGTTAGATCAGAACTTTTTTTCACATTTGCCTTCTTTTGATGGAAAATATAAGACTTCCTAAAAATTAAATATGTTTGTTCCCTCAAAACTGTTACCAGAGGCTCAGCACCTGTGGCTCAAGCAGCTAAGGCGTCAGCCACATATACCTGACCTGGTGGGTTCGAATCCAGCCAGGCCCACCAAACAATGATGGCTGCAACCAAAAAACAGCTGGGCATTGTGGCAGGCACCTGTAGTCCCAGCTACCTGGGAGGCGAGGCAGGAGAATCGCTTGAGCCCAGGAGTTAGAGGTAGCTGTGAGCTGTGATGCCACCGCACTCTACCCAAGGTGACAGCTTGAGGCTCTGTCTCAAAAACAAAGAAACAAAAAAAAAAACTGAGGCAGTGCCTGTGGCTCAAGGAGTAGGGCACCGGCCCCATATGCTAAGGGTAGCGGGTTTGAGCCTACCCGGGGCCAAAACTGCTATCTAAGCTTCTTAAGACATGAAAAGGTAAATTATAACCAAGATAATAATATCTTACTGACTTGATGAGGAATTTGGGTACCAGCAACAAAAAAAGAAAGAAGAAGAACTTTAAAGTCATCAAGAAAATTTTTGCTCAAAAAAGTTGACAAAACCTAGAAACAATAGCTACAGTTTCAATTCCATGGTGTAAGTCGTGTGTTTGCAAAAATGACAATCTGCTTGAACAGATTCTTAAAAACTATAAAACTACGAAACAAAAGAAATACCACCCTGGTTGGACTTAGTGCCTCACACCTGTAAGTAATCTTAGCACTCTGGAAGGCTGAGTAGGAGGATCCCTTGGAAGGAGTTCAAGACCAGCAAGCAAGAATGAGACCCCACCTCTCCTAAAAATAGAAACATTAGCCAGGCACTGTGGCACACACCTGGAGTCTTAGCTACTCAGAAGACTCAGGCAAAAGATCTCTTGAATCCAGGAATTTGAGGCTGCTGTAAGCCAGGCTGACACCATGGCACTCTAGCTTGGGGAACAGAGCCAGACTCTACTGAAAAGAAAGGAGGTAAGGAAGGGGAAAGGAAAAGGAAAGGGGGAGGGAAAGAGAGAAGGGAAAGAAAGACAAAGGAAGAGGGAAGAAGGAAAAGGAGAGGAAAGGAAATACCATCTTGGCCATATACATATTCTACAAGATAATGTTAAGGACCTTATATAGACTTCATTAGCATCACAGGTATTGTCTTTAGAAGATCCTTAAAAAATTAAAAATACGTCAAAATGTTTAAACTATAAGATATCTCAAAAAAGATTTATTCTTCTCCCCTCATTTTTCTAAATAAAGATTTAAAGAAAAATTATCGAACATGGGCAAATTATTGCCAGGTTTCTATAACAAAGTACCATGCTCTTTCCCTGGAGAACCCAAAGTTACCTTTCTTTTATTATACTAAAACCAAGACATAGAATGAAGAAGATTTAAATGTAGAAATTAGGAAATGTGCATTATACATTTAACTCTATATATGATTTGCAGAATAATGTCATATGACTTCCCCTAAAAGAAAATGCCTTCCTATACTATTAAAAGTCAAAGGCAAGCCAGATGTGGTGGCTCACACTTGTAATCCTAGCACTCTGGGAGGCTGAGGCAGGTGGATTGCTTGAGCTCACAAATTCAAGACCAGCCTGAACAAAACCAAGACCCCCGTCTACTAAAAACAAAAAAACCAAGGCAAGAGGTCACTTTAGACCAAGAGCTGGAGGTTGCTGTGAGTTATAATGCCAACGTACTCTCCCCAGGACAGCTTGAGACTGTCTCAAAAAACAAAAAGTTAAAGACAGGCTCAAGCCCCTCATTTTTCAGAATCCACAAATACACATAACACTTATAACAATAATAACGATGATGATTATAAAGTAAAATAAAAGAAATTAAGAAACATTATTACATATAGAAGATGTATACTATTTATGCTAATAAACAGTTAATGAAAATTATTAAAATCTGAAAGCAAGAATTACTTTTACTTATCTTTTACCTAGTCAAATCACAAGAGTCATGATATTTCTATTGCCCAAACCACAGGATTAAAATGAGATGCCTAGTATCACTTCAAATTAATGACCCAGGTGATAGATTTTAAAAATTAATTAATTAAATCAATGACCCAACTGGATCCTTGTCACCACCTTTAGTCCTTCCTTTCCCCAGCAGACTATTTCACAGCTTATCCTCATCCTCACCTGATGGCCCTGTTTCTTTATTAACTGAGAAAATGGAAGCAATCAGAAAAAGAATTCCAGACTCTCTACATCAAACCTGTCTACCTATCACCATGTGGACCCACGACAGTCTTCTCCCCACTGGCACAGATGAACTAACCAGTTCCTATCTAAAGTCATTCATGCCAGTTACACACTAAATCCTACTCCTTCTTGCCTACCTCTCAATTTTATCATGAGAATTTCTGGCTCCTCAGCTGGGTGTTGTGGCAGGCGCCTATAGTACCAGCTACTCAGGAGGCTGAAGCAAGAGAATCATTTAAGCCCAAGAGTTTGAGGTTACTGTGAGCTGTGATGCTACAGCACTCTACTGAGGGTGACATAGTAAGACTCTGTCTCCAAAAAAAAAAAAAAAAAAAAGAATTTTCAGCTCCACTGGATATTTCTCCTACCTTAAAAACAACAAACATTTTGTCCCTATTTCCCCAATATCATCTCTCCTCCTTGTTTACTCTCCCTTTGCAACAAAACTTTGAAAAACTTGTCTATATTCACTGCCTCCAACTTCTTCCTTTCCATTCTCTCTCTTTTTTTTTTGGAGACAGAGTCCCACTTTTTCACCTTCAGTAGAGTGCTGTAGCATCACAGCTCACAGGAACTTCAAATTCTTTCGCTTAAGCGATTCTCTTACCTCAGCCTCCCAAGTAGCTGGGACTACAGGAACCTGCCACAACGCATGGCTATTTTTTGCTGCAGTTGTCATGGTTGTTTAGCTGGCCCAGGGCTGGTTCAAACCCACCAGCCTTGGTGCATGTGGCAGGCGCCAAGCCCTTTCCATTCTCTCTTGAACTAACCCTACTCCAGTCAAGCTTTTGCACCCACCATTAACGGAAATTATTTTCATCGCGTTCACTGATGACGTACATAATGCTATATACAATGGCAAATTTTCTGTCCTTATCTGATTTGACTTAGCAATATGTGATATAGTTAATCACACCTTTCTCACTGATAAACTTTCTTCACTTGGCTTCCAGAGCACTCCACTCTCTTAGTTTTCCTCTTACTTTACTAATTACTCTGTAAGACAGAAGACTTACTAATCTTAATTTAGTCTCATGATCTTGAATACTTATTAAGGGGAAAACAGCCAGCCTAAAAACAACAAAACATTCTACACAAGGCTTAAAAACAACGAAACATTTTGCACAGACCAGGCTTGAGAAAATGATCCTATACATATTTCAATCCCATAGCACAGTTGCCTTATAATGTTACAAAGTTAAAATTATTGTGGAAAACTATGTCTGAGATCCACACTATATAACATAGTAAGCCACTAGTCACATAATGCTATTTTATTTACATTTTAAATTAACGCTAAAAAAATTTTTAAATGCAATTCCTTAGTGTACTAGCCACATTTTAAATGCTGAGAACCACCTGTAGTGAATGGCTACCATATTGGACATTGCTCAATGGACAACGCAAGTAGGGAACATTTCCATCATCACAGAAAATTCTACTAAGCAGTGCTGCTCTGGACCTTGTTTAATGTTAAACCCCTGATTTGTGTGGACTGAGCCTTGATTCTGAGGGTTGTAATTAGTATGCAGATCCTGAGGCACACTTGACTAGAAGACAATTAGGAAATAAAGGAAAAGGCTTTCCTGTGCTAATATCAACACTGGCTCTCTCTCTTAGAATTAAGCACATTCCTCATGTACTGGCCGAGTCCGAAAGCTATGGACTACTGTTAGATGTTCCCTACAAGAGAGCTGATGTTTCCCCACACTGAAGGAGACCATACCCACTTCAACCCTATCTCCTACAACTCAACACACCTCTATACATTGGTACATTCCTGGAAGCGGCAGGTGAACAATAAAAATAATAGTGTATGCACTCTGCCTCTGTGCTAACAAAGCTTTCTAAACCTAGTGCCAGCCTGCAAATTGGACTCTCAAATCCAAGTCAACTATTGATGGCTGTGCAAAATGATGTCAAATTGAAGTATTCTACACAGAGGAGCCAAAGCCCTCATTCTTAATCACTAAGTTGTTCACATCCATTTATATAAACCAAGCATTTCACACAGAGATCTAATATCAAAGCCATACAGTACTATACATTCACAGTATTCCCCCTGCATACATCTCTCCCTCTCAAACTTGAGTTTCCAAGAGTCGAAAATTACACCTGTCAAACCAAGAATAACAATAAAAATTTCACGTAGAATTAGAAGTTTGTATATCATATTAAATAACAGTTTGCATAATCAATGACCATACATTACCCTGTCTTAACAATATATCTTTTTTTTTTTGAGACAGAGCCTTAAGCTGTTACCCTGGCATCACAGCTCACAGCAACCTCCAACTCCTAGGCTTAAGCGATTGTCTTGTCTCAGCCTCCCAAGTAGCTGGGACTAGAGGCGCCCACCACAAAGCTTGGCTATATTTTTGTTGCAGCTGTCATTGTTGTCTGGCAGTCCCGAAGTAGATTCGAACCCACCAGCTCCGGTATATGTGGCTGGCACCCTAGTGGCTGAGCTACAGGAGACCTCTTTTTTATTTTTGAGTCAGAGTCTGGCCCTGTCTCCTAAATCTCCTAGGCTCTGGAATATAGTGGACTCATCATAGCTCACCACAATCTCAAACGCCTGAGCTCGAGCAATCCTCCTGCCTTGGCATCCTGAGTACCAAGAATTTTAAGTTCTGGCTTGGTACCCATAGTACAGTGGTTACAGTGCCAGCCACGTGCACCTAGGCTGGCGGGTTCAAACCCAGCCCGGGCCAGCTACACAACAATCACAACTGCAACAAGAAAATAGCTGGG